AAAAGAATCAGTGACATTGAAGATAGAAATCTGGAAATGACACAGATTGAAGAGAAGAGAGACTTGAGAGTTAAAAGAAATGAAAGAACTCTACAAGAACTTTCTGACTCCATCAGAAAGAGCAATATAAGAATAATGGGCATACCAGAAGGAAAAGAAAGGGAGAAGGGAACAGAGAGTATATTCAAAGAAATAGTTGACAAGAATGTCCCAAACTTGTGGAAAGAGCTGGGTCCTCGAATCCAAGTTCTAATTAAATAGTACACTTAATTACCTCAATTCCAACAGGCCTTCTCCAAGGCACATTGTATTGAAACTGTCAAAAATTAATTACAAAGAAAGAATCCTCAAGGCAGCCAGGGAAAAGAAGACGGAAATCTACAAAGGAAAGCCCATTAGTTTATCACCAGATTTATCAGCAGAAACTCTACAAGCCAGGAGGGAGTGGAATCAAATATTCAAATTATTGAAAGAGAGAAATTATAAGCCAAGAATAATATAACCAGAAAAGATATTCTTAAGATATGAAAGAGGAATAAAGACCATTCCAGACATACAGAAGCTGAGGGAATTTTCTAACACATGACCTGCATTACAAGAAATACTGAAGGAGGCTATTTTACCTGAAACAAAGAAGCAAATGAATACAAAACCATGAGTACTATTACGAACAGACAGACAGAAGCAGGAAATGGCAACCCCTATACCAAATAAGACACTATATATTTAAACATAACAGAGAGGGTAAAGAAAAAAATTTTTTAAAAGAAGAGGAAAAAGACAACTTGCTACTGCAGCACAGAAATCAACTCACAGCATAAATAGGGATAATTTGTGACAAGAAAAACATGAAAAGGGAGAGAGTAAAGGTCTGAACCAACACAAGGGAATGGAGAAAGGAAGCATGCTGAAGAAAATGGAATACTGTAAATATGGAACTTTCTTTTACATAAACTTAATGGTAACCACACACACACAAACCCCCCAGAACTGAAATATATAACATAAAAAAGAAGAAACAGAGGGAAAAACCATAGAATATCACCACACTGAAATAATAGACAGCAACAAAAAGGCAAAGACACAATGGAGACACAGTCCTACTGGAAAGCCAAAGATAGAATGATAGGAAATCCTCATATATCAATAGTCACCCTAAATGTAAATGGACTGAACTCACCAAAAAAAAAAAAGGCACAGAGTAGCATTTTGGATAAAACAAATATACCTAACCATATGCTGCCTCCAAGAGACACATCTCAGCTACAATGACAAATATAGACTCAAAGTGAAAGGCTGGAAATTGACACTCCAAGCAAATAGTATTCAGAGAAAAGCAGGTGTGGCCTTACTGATATCAGATGAAACAGACTTTAGGATAAAAAAGATAACAAGAGACAAAGATGGACATTTCATAATGATAAAGGGGACTATAAAACAAGAAGACAAAACAATCATCAATATTTATGCCCCCAATCAAAGAGCCCCGAAATATACAAAGCAGCTACTAACAGAACTCCAGGGAGAAATTGACCAAAACATGACTATAGTAGGGGACCTAAATACATCATTGACAGCTATGGAGAGATCATCAAACAGAAAATAAATAAACAAATATCAGCCTTAAATGACACATTAGATGAAATGGACATAATTGACATTTACAGAGAACTTCATGCTAGAATATCAGACTATACATTGTTTTCTAGTGTACATGGAACATTCCCAAAGATAGACCACATATTGGGACATAAAACTAGCCTCAGCAAATTTAAGAAGATTGAAATCATACCAAGCATATTCTCTGAACACAAGGCTTTGGAACTGGATATCATCTTCAAAAAGAAAGCAGGAAAAACCACAAACATGTGGAGATTAAACAACATACTTTTAAAGAACGACTGGGTCAAAGAAGAAATAAGAGGAGAGATCAAAAGATACATAGAAACAAATGAGAATGAAAATACATCCTATCAAAACTTTTGGGATGCAGTGAAAGCAGTTTTAAGAGGGAAATTTATATCATTACAGGCCTATTTCAAGAAACAAGAAAAATCCCAGATAAATATCCTCATGTTACACCTTGAAGAACTAGAAAAAGAAGAATAAATGAAACCCAAAGTCAGCAGAAGGAAGGAAATAATAAAAATCAGAGCAGAACTAAATGAAATGGAGAACACAAAGACAATAGAAAAAATTAATGCAAAAAAGAGCTAGTTCTTTGAAAAGATTAATAAAATTGACAAACCCTTGGATAGACTCACTAAGATAAAAAGAGAAAAGACACAAATAAATAAAATCAGAAATGAATGAGGTGAAGTTACCATGGATGCCATGGAAATACAAAGGACCATCCAAGAATACTATGAAGGGCTATATGCCACCAAATTCAATAACCTAGAAGAAATGGACAAGTTCTTAGAAACAGATAGCCTTCCTAGGCTGAATCACGAAGAATAGGAAAATCTAAATAGGCCGATTAACAGCAAGGAAATTGAATCAGTCATCTGAAACTTTCCCCAAAGCAAAAGTCCAGGACCAGATGGCTTCACTAGTGAATTCTACCAAACATTCAAAGAGGATCTAATATCTGTCCTACTCAAACTCTTCCAAAAAATTGAACAAGAGACAATACTCTCTACCTCATTTTATGATGCCAACATTACCCTGATACCAAAACCTGGTAAGGATAACACACAAAAAAGAAAATTACATAGCAATATCTCTGATGAATGCAGATGCAAAAATCTTAAACAAAATTCTAACAAATCGACTGCAACAATGCACTAAAAAATTATACATCACGATCAAGTGGGGTTCATCCCAGGAGCACAAGGATGGTTCAACATACACAAATTGATCAATGCAATACACCACATAAACAAAATAAAGGACAAAAATCATATGCTTATATTAATAGATGCAGAAAAAGCATTATGACAAGATAAAACATCCATTTATGATTGAAATACTTAACAAAATGAAAAACACCTTAACATAATAAAGGCCATATATGACAAACCCTCAGCTAATATCGTAATTAATGGTGAAAACTGAAGCCTTTTGCTCTGTGTTCAGGAATGCAACAGGGCTGTGCCCTATCACCTCTGCTTTTCAAAATAGTATTGGAAGTCCTAGCCAGAGCAATCTGGCAAGGGAAAGGAATAAAAGACATTCAAATGAAGACATTAAATTGTCACATTTTGCAGATGACATGATGCTATATATAGAAAACCCTAAAGACTCCACGACAAATCTATTAGAAACAATAAAAGAATACAGTAAACTTACCGGCTACAAAATCAATGTACAAAAGTCCATTGCATTCCTATATACTAACAATGAAACCTCAGAAAAAGAAATTAAAAAAAATCCTTTTGTAATTGCAAGAAAAAGAATACAATACTTATGAATAAACTTAATCAAAGTTGTGAAAGACCTATACACTGAAAACTATAAGATATTTTTAAAAGAAATTGAAGAAGACACAAAGAAATGGAAAGACATTCTGTGTTCATGGATTCGAAGAATCAACATAAGTAAAATGGCCATATTACTCAAACCAATATACAGATTTAATGCAACCCCCATCAAAATCCCAATGGCATGTTTTAAAGAAAAAGAAAAAAAATCATCAGATTTGTATGGAACAACAAAAGACCCTGAATAGTCAAAGCAATCGTTAGAAGAAAGAACAAGGTTGGAGGTATTACACACCCTGACTTCAGCATGTACTACAGGGCAATAATAATCAAAACAGTATGATATTGGCAGAAAAACAGACACACAGACCAATGGAATAGAATTGAGAATCCAGAAATAAACCCACATAAATATGGACAGATAATTTTTGACAAAGAAGCCAAAAACATACAATGGAGAAAAGACAGGCTCTTCAATAAATGGTGCTGGGAGAATTGGAAAGCCACGTGCAAAAGAATGAAACTAGACTGCTATCTGTCACCATGTACCAAAATTAAATCAAAATGGATCAGAGACCTAAACATAAGACCTGAAACAATAAACTGCATAGAAAAAAACATAGGTACTAAACTTATGAACCATGGGTTCAAAGAGGATTTGATGAATTTGACCTCACAGGCAAGGGAAGTAAAAGCTACAAAAACGAATGGGACTATCTCAAACTAAAAAGAAAGCAAAAGAAACCATCTACAAAATAAAGAGGCCACCAACCGAATGGGAGAAGGTTTTGCAAACAATGCCTCCAATGAGGGGCTACTATCCAAAATATATAAGGAACTCATAAAACTCAACAACAAAAAAACAAACAATCCAATTTAAAAATGGGCAGAGGACCTGAATAGACATTTCTCCAAAGACGACATACAGATGGCCAATAGACATATGAAGAAATGCTCAACATCACTAATCATCAGAGAAATGTAAATAAAAACCACAATAAGACATCACCTCACATGTGTTAGAATGACTCTCATCAACAACACAAATAATAGCAAGTATTGGAGAGGCTGTGGAGAAAAAAGATCCCTCATACACTTTTCGTGGGAATGCAGATTGGTGCAGCCACTATAAAAGGCAGTGTGGAGATTCCTCAAAAAACTAAAATTGAATTACCATATGACCCAGCAATTCCTTTCTTGGGTATCTACCCAAAAAATCTGAAAACATTTATCCGTTAAGATATGTGTACTCTGTTGTTTATTGCAGATTTATTTGTGGTGGCCAAGACATGGAAACAACGAAAGTGTCCTTCAATAAATGATTGGATAAAGAAGTTGTAGTATATATACACGATGGAATACTATTCTGCCATAAGAAAAGATGAAACAGTGTCATTTGCAACAAAATGGATGGATCTTTAGATTACAATGCTAAGCGAATAAGTCAGGCAGAAAAAGTCAAGAACCATATGATTTCACGGATATGTGGTATATAAAACTGAAAAAAAAAAGAACAAGAAAAACAAATGAAGAAACAAAACTCATAGACACAGCTCAGCTTGCGCCGCCACTGCCACCGCCGCCGTGCACGCCATGGGATCCGTGACTGACGATGAAGTTATACTGAAGAGTCTCCTAATTGATGGAGATGGTGCTGGAGATGATCGGAGAATTAATCTGCTAGTGAAAAGTTTCATTAAATGGAGCAACTCTGGATCCCAGGAAGAGGGATACAGCCAGTACCAACATATGCTGAGTACACTGTCCCAATGTGAATTTTCAATGGGCAAAACACTGCTGGTATATGATATGAACCTCAGAGAAATGGAAAATTATGAAAAGATATACAAAGAAATAGAATGTAGCATTGCTGGAGCACATGAAAAAATTGCTGAGTGCAAAAAGCAAATTCTTCAAGCAAAACGAATACAAAAAAATCGCCAAGAATATGATGCTTTGGCAAAAGTGATCCAGCATTGTCCAGACAGGCATGAGACACTAAAGGAACTGGAGGCTCTGGGAAAAGAATTAGAGCACCTTTCACATATTAAAGAAAGTGTTGAGGATAAGCTAGAATTGAGACAGAAACAGTTTCACGTTTTTCTTAGTACCATCCACGAACTTCAGCAAACACTGGAAAATGATTAAAAGCTCTCTGAAGTAGAAGCAGCTCAGGAAATAAGCATGGAAGCAGATCCTAAGCCACAGACAAGCTAATCGCTCAGCATTCCCAAGATGAAGTAGCACCAGGGTCTTAGTGCGTTTGGAATTTGTGTGCTCTTGAGATATTTAAAGTTTTGACAGTGAACTACTTTGCTTTTAGATATTAATGTACAGTTCATTCATATTTCTTCACACAG